AACATTACAGATCACTCTTCTTTTAAGGCCATAAGATATTTAGCACACACAGTGTTGTCCAAGGCAACCAATTAGCTTAAAAGTTTCTTGTTATATATATATATATATAAAAATGTGGAGGAGCTGATGAACGAGAAAAGGTTAAGCCTGCAGCCCATTCATTTTGTGAGCCTGCAGGTTCCAGTGCCTTAGTAATATTGTCTAACAACTTGCATATAGCATGTCACATATAAATGCGTCTGTTGAAAGCATTAAAGGAGGTCCATAGGTCCTTTATACACTGTGCTGAAATGCTGTATACGTTTATCTTGAGAACCCTGGGAATAAAAAAAATCCATCTAGAGAGGCATGAGAGGAAGATATGGTCTGAACATCACAAAACAAAAGGCCACGCTATACCAATGGATCCTATGTCAATCACTTTCCCCTCCAAGTCCTGCTATAGTTCAAAAATGATTTTACCCTATACCTGTATAGGACCTTCTAGCACAAGGGCTACAGTTTAGATAGCAATACATGGAAGAGGAAGTACTTGTTGGGGTGCGGAACATGTACCCAACAGATTAACAGCCAACTTTCTTCACCACAATTTACGTAGTACAAACGAACATACATCCGAACGAACATGCATACATACGAACGAACGAACATACACTCAATGTTCATCTTACCTGGCCATGTCCAGCAATCTGCTATTGTGAAAATCATGTTGGGACCATGACGCTAAAGAACTGCCCACTGTTATAAAAGACATGCTTCTTGGTTCCTGTAGGCTATGCTAACTAAACTTGATTTCTAAGGGGAAGTCCTAAGATGTAGATGTGTGTCCCTAAAAATGTCTTAGTTTTTAAAAATGCACACACTTGATTTGCTTTGATTTTGGGAGCTGTATTTTAGTTGAATATTGTTTCAGAGATGGAGCAAAAAAAAAAAAAAAAAAATATTATTTGCCATTTTAGTAGGTTAAGGTGGGGACAGATTTGGAACTAGGTTACAGTCTACAAAGGGATGCTTCTTTGATACCATGCAAAATAGAGCTTTTACAGGACAGTAGATGTCAGAAATTAAGGTGAAGTTTAAACTAGCTTGATGTTCCCGTCTCTACGCTAAAGAACGACGCATATTAAAAGTGCACTTATTCTTGAAATAAAAAAAACAAAACCATCACTTATACAACCGTTATTAATTTATCTTTTCTCTTTTATGGGCAAAAACCCAACACCCACATAGACCTCGGCACTGAGCCATTCTTGAAAAACATCTGCGCAATCATGGTTTTAGCAGGCATAACAAGGGCAAAGTCTCAAAGTATTCACACCTTTTCACTTTAAACTGCAGGAATCTGGCCAAATAATAATGTATACCTGGCAAAGAGAGCATGCCTCAAACATTCATTTTCAAAATCTCCTAAAAAAGCACACCAGGCGGGGCCACGCAGCCGAGGCTGTCATACCGTTTACTTCATCGTTGTTCAAAAATGGAATCTGTATCATTGCAGAGGCACGCTATTTCAAATTGCCGCACTAAAAAAAAAAAATGCCCAACTGGATTTGATTTCCAGGGGTACATAAAACAGTGTTTGTGGGAGACTAGATTGAAATCTGGAGATGGTCAGTGCTTTAAAGTAAACTTGTGAAAGAGAAAAATGGGAGCTTGCTACTGCTGTCCTCCTGAAAATGCAAGCCGACACTCCGGTGTCAATACTTTGAGTCACTGAGCAGAAATGTACACTGATCTGAAAGCCAGACAAAAGGCAGCAGTCATAATGCCTGCTCTGGGTTTAAAGGGTTATTAAACCCTCATTTGTTTTTGCATATATCTACTGCTAGCAAGCAGTAGATATATGCAAATCGATTTAAAAAAAAACATTTGAAAGGGTTAATACTTACCTGCGTCTCCGCCGCACGCTCCCGTCCGAACACCTGAAAACTTCTCGGGCGGCCGCAAAGGATCTTGGGGCAGGCGCATGAGCAGTCCAGATGTTCGGCCAGGAGACGAGGAGAGAAGGTAAGTATATGGAGCAGCGTGCACCCGCACAGACTCCGTGGTACATGAGCGAAGAGGACGACAGAGGAGTCAGCGATGGATCGGAGACCCGCACCAGCGCTGGAGGGACTGCTAAAAACTACAGGAAAGAGGATCAGATTAAGAGGCATCATTTAAGGTAAGTCCTTACTTTAGCACTGTGTGTGTGTGTGGGGGGGGGGGGGGACTTTAGCCTTTAATGTCCCTTTAATAATACAACATATTAAAGGAGAAGTGTAGTGAACGTAAAACATAGTCTCCACAATGCTTAGAGCTAGTGTGGAACTCTGCAACGGTCACACTGGGGCTCTAAGACTGAGAGCGGACCAATCACGTGACCACTGATCACTGCAGGGATTCCCCTTTGCCTGCAGTGCGGGCTAAGGCTACAGACAGGCAGCCGGTGTGGATCCCAACAATGTTGTAGGGCCTCTTTTAGAGTACGGCATGGCTGTGCCCAGTCAGTCAATAGCAGGTATTAGACTGCTATTGGCTGACTTTGGGTCACAAGCAGTACTTTTACATATATACCTCTGACCCAAACAAGACGCCAAAAAATAAATAAATGGCGTTACTTCTCTATTAAAAGAAAGTGGGTCAGAACGTCAGCAAGGAAAATGGCATTTTCAGAAAGGTGGTCACAAATATCCGACAGGTTTCCTTTAAGCAGGCTTTAAGGACTATAGGTAATTTAATTGGTGCAAAAAGTGGCAACTAGCTGAATGGCTTCTCAAGTTGCTTCCAGCTAGGTTTTCTGGGAAAAATGAACCTAAAACATAAAAGGCGATGTGGTTCAAAACCAACTTCTAGAACATACCTACAACTATTGAATGAGTTGGTCAATCACTAAATAGTAAGAAAGAGTTCTGTCAACTGTACTAGCAATCAAGAGGCAACTAAAACGTGTTCAACAGGCAACTGGGCTGGCAGCAAGGAGTGCAGCTGTTTTCAGGAGGAGCTCATAGTATTTGTAAATGGTCTAGAAGCTGAAGGTCTGGAAGAACAACAAAAATTGGCTCCCAGAAGATAGTGGGGGGTCGGTGGCTGACATATTAAGTCTGGTTATAATGTGCACCTATTTCTTTTTTTTGCTTAAGGCTACGTTGAGTTTCTACACCAAACGTACAATGTAATTCGGCCCAATTGAACATTACACTTGAAGCAAAACCATCAGTGATTAAGGAAAAACCACCTTTAGAAAATCCATCTCAGGCCACATAGTTATAAATGAAAAAAGTTTACTCAACATTACCTAAAGCCTGGTGTCTTGGGTACTTCAAGACAGAAGCAAAAAAATACTACTGCATTAAACTTAAAAAGGAAAACTCCAGTAGTGGCTAAAATGGCCACTAAAATTGTACGGTATTAGGGCGCATGTATATAATAATCAAGCAGGACAAATGCTTTAATAATAAAAAAAAAAAAAACTAAAAATTTTTCTATGCGCATGGTTAAAGCCACAGTTACTTAGAGTAGTTGATAATTAAAATGGCCATATGCAAACTAATTAGGCATTGCAACTTCCATCAGAAGCTCTCTTTCAATGCAATTCAACAACTATGTTCAGATAGATTGTTGCACCTACTGAATATGCATCTCACAACTTGCTGCCGGATGTGGATTGGAAGTGAAAACACACAAACATGAGTCTATGCAAAAATGCTATATACTGGTATCATATTAGCTTTGCTGCATCTTATAGGAAGTAGCGGACACAGGTAAATCAGTGTTGCCCGTCAGCTTGAGTACTCAGCCTGGCAATGGTATTAGAGGGTCTGATCAATGTATATAATTAAGAAACCAAACATTCACACCAGCTTGGACCACTGTGGTGCATTATTGTGTGGTGTTAGGACAGACCACACATTTGAATTGGCTGCCTAACGCACCTTAACTGACCAAAAATCACATATGCAGCAGCACACAACTTAGAGTGTTGACTTGCGCTGCATTGCAATGTAGGTGCGCTGGTCAGGTGCCATTTAGAAAGAACGCCACTGCACTAATACATGTAACAGTGGGTTAGTAATGTGCGACAGTGCACTTGTGTGAATGGGCCCTTCTCTTTTGGGATTATATGAGCTACTGAAAGAACTCAGCACAGTTCACTACTTTTTAGTACACAAGATTATATTATCTTTGGAAGGGCAAAACACAGTGGTACCTCGGTTTCACGAACTTAATTCGTTCCACGTGTCAGAGCGGGGAAGATGCTGCGGTTGTGTTCGTCCCCCGATGTGAAGTTCGTGAACGGAAGCAAAATTTTGCAGAACTTCCTGTTCGCTAACAGAAGCGTTGGTGGACTGGGGTACCACTGTATAGTCCACTCCAGACTTCAGGTTGGAAAGGGGGGGGGGGTCACGTGTGAGCAAGAAGGCCCATCAAAAGCAGCCAAAAATTGATGTGCAAAAGCCCATAGCAAAAAGTCATCATCTCAAACTGACCATTTCAGTAAATTAAAATTGGGTAGCTATGGGTTATTGCATTGGGCACACAACTGCCTTTTTGCACAGCTTCATTTTTTTTAAGCCTAAAAAGTTTTCCAGACTTGCTTCAGGTAAATGTAAAAAACAAAACAAAAACAGTTTAGCAAGTTCAGCCTGTAGGTGGATGATGAGTATTTGCCTACTGTACATACAATTTGCCAAGTTTATATTGATCTGTTAGAATATAAGATACATTTACATCACATAAAACTTTCATTTCTTTAAAAAAAAATATTTATAAAATAAAAAAAGTTTGTTTCAGTTTGTCAAAGAGGAAGAGTTTCTCTGGAGGAAACCATTTGCAGCAATAGACAAGTGCAGAATACATGAAGACATGCTCTGCGTTGTCTTTGCTGTTACGTTTTGGGGACCAACCTTAGTTGAAACTGCTTCATGTGTTTGAACCTCTAGTAGGTAGGCAAAGCGCAGTGCATTGAATGTACAGCGTCAGTTTACCACTATTCTGTAACATCAATGCGGTACAAAAAAAAATTAAAAAACAAGTTAGGGGCTGGGGAGGAAAACACGCAAAATACCCACTTAATAGATGTTCCATTTCAATACACATGTCCCATTAATGAAAACACTGAAGCTTCCACCCAAAAAAATTCAACTTTTAAGAAAAAAACAAAAAAACAGGCCAACAAATTCTAGGATCTAAAGCAGGCTTCTTGTGGTGGCTCTCCAAAGGTGATTTCTTTCCTTGCAATAAAATTGAATGGAGGAAAAAAACAAAAAAGGGATCCTTTCAAAATGCTTCACATTCGGGAGCCTCGTTCTTGCAAAATCTGAAAGACAACAGAACTCTGTGTTAGTAAAATGACTGGTAGTATCCACACAATGTTAAGACTAAAGAGCTTGTAGTTCAGGTTTGTCCATTTATGTGGTCTGAAAAAGCATAGGCTACCACTCGCATGTGTCCACCATGGTATCAGCTACTACAAACAGCCCTTGCTTCAACACACAAACTCACCAGCATCTATTAAAAACATATTCGTATAGTTTCCAGCATTCCCCATTTAAAAAGAGCAAACTCTAGTGAAACAAACACCTGAGAGCCTTGTTGCTAAAGAGTAATATGGGAATATTTTGATCCAGGGAATTCATTCAACGGCCCTAGTTCTGTGTTGGTGGGTCAAGAGCAAATATTTTCTACCTGCTGTGTGGCAACACCGAGCCTAGAGAAAGGCAAAATAAAAACCTGTGTGTTACTGTTGCCAAATTGTAGTAGTTGTGAGAATCTGAAAGACATCAGTTACAAGACTTGTAACAATGGTGTAACTAGTGACGTTAGAGCTTCCAGTCTCCTTACTACCCTGTCACTACAGGGTCATTTTTACCCAATAGGTGACCAGTGAAAGAAGCATGAATATACTTTTCTGGCAGCCCATTTATTGAAAGTTGTCCCAACCGTTGCACATATTCTACACTACCAGAAAGGTAAAATACTAATTACAGAACATGACCTTACAGATTTAAAAATTGTGAAAGTTCCAACTATATTTTCACTTTTGCAGCCAACTGAACTCTTCTCACACTGCTCGAGTACATTGATTCATTACAGGAGTTCTTATAAAAAAATATTGCCCAGCTGACCATCTTGCTTTAATCACTTCCCCAGATAAAAGGCATCTAAAACTAAGGGTCAACCGATAGATGTTTTTGGAACTGATACATATTGGCCACCTTTTAGGCCAATAACCAATGTCAGGTACGGATATCTTGTTTACATGCAGCTGCATGTAAACAGCCAGCAGTCGCCTACTATCAGCCGACCCCCGTCTCATTCATCTGCCGACACCAGGATCCTGCAGCTGAACATAAACAGCAGGCAGTGCAATATCCAGCCCGCTATTGGCCATTGCAAATTGCAATAGCTGGCTATTCAAGCCACCCAATGCCTGCTGTCAATCAGCAGAGGAGCAGACCGTAAGGAGAAAGTTCTCCTTCAGGTTCGCTCCCCTGCTGATCGATCTGCAGTGGCTAGAAGCAATAGCCAGCCTGTTAATGCAAATTGCAATAGCAGGCTGGCGATGGGAACCCACCCATTTTCAATCAGCAGAGGAGGACCTGAAGGAGAAAGTTTTCCTTCAGGTCCTCCTCTGCAGTGGGCGGGTGCAATAGCCAGCCTGCTATTGGAACTTGAAATGGCCATTAGCAAGCTGGCTATTGCTTCCCCTGCTATCTGCTGTTTTTCTTTTTTTCTGTATTCCAACAGGTGCCAGGCGGCTGCCGTCAGAATACCCGAACAGAGTCAGAAGCTCTTAGGCTGCCGGCTCTGTTCCTCGGTAGATTTACTGACCGGCTCCTTTGATTAGCTAATCAAGGGATGAAGGCCAGACAGCGGCACCCACTGTGCGAATTTCACAAATTTGCCGTGTTTATTATTGGTACATTTTACAGATACTGGGGGGAGGGGGGAAATGGGAATAGCGGCACCCAATTATCGGTAGGTCTGATAATCGGTTGATCCCTAAACCATTTAGAGTATTAGAGATAAACTATCTCGAATACTCATGGACCTGGAACACCTATGCAGATAGAAACCAGTGTGTTCGCATTTGAAGAGTAGCACTACCAGCCCCATATTTTTCTCAAGCAATCCCCAGCTTCCATCAGATGCTCCTGAAACTGATGTATAGCACTGACTAATCTGTTTAAAATATAAACACACACACGCTTTAGGGTCTCACCAGTCAGTCAAAAATTTCACCAGTCAGCACGACCGGACTATAGCCTTGCAATTTATGTTAACATTTGTTTGGGACAGATAGAGCTTTCTTTTGGAGGTATATAATCACCTCGGGGGGGGGGGGGGTTATTTTCTTTAACTATATAATGAAAAAAAGTACCGTAAATGTAAAAAAAGAAAAAAAAAAAAAGTTTCCCTACGTTCCGTTATAAAACATTAATTCTTACCCATATTTTTGGTAAAACATAAAAGCCAGGATCACGTCGGGTAAATAGACACCAAATATGTCAAGCCTTAAAACTGCGTGCACCCGCAAAAAAACACCCATAGGCGACGCTTAAAACGCTTTTACTGCTCATCAGTTTAGTGTTATCAGTGATTAATGGCCCTAAAATTATTGCTCTCGCTCCGACATTTGCGCCGATATGCAACATGTGCGGCACGCAATCGTAATTTTCGCACATAGGCGCACCCGACGCATATCTGCGTGTGTATGTGAGGGGCGGAGACTTTAAAAAAATGTGTTTGTTTTCTTTAATTTTTTTTATGCTTCTTTAATTTTTGTATTACTTTTTTTTTTTTTTTTTTTACAACTGAATGCAGGAAGTGATGTAATATCTATCACTTCCTGCATTCGGGGACTGAAAGATCAAAAGGGAGACTGTATACTGATCTCCTGTCACAGAACCGTGCCGGTCCCGGCCACATCGGATCTCGGAACCGGCAGTGACGGCTGCTAATACAAGTGATCGAGCATCTCTAGAGACGCCCGATCGCTTGAATGTAAAGCTCCCGGCCATCCGTGTAATTACAATGGCCGGAGATATATAATCCAGACTGCCAGTTTACAAGACGCAGACTAAGGTTAAGCGTGTGTTTTTTAGATCCTTATGAAAAGGGCACTGGTTCTTAGTAATGGAATGATGGGTATAACTTTAAACCAGCTGAACTCTGGCATGTCCAAAAATATTCCCTCTTGGGAGAGAAGATTGCATACATCTTAGATCTGTTGTACAATAGCACCCATTAAACATAGATCTCTACACCTTGGATCAGGTGCAGCTTGAAAACATACGGATCATTCCCTAGGCAGTATGAGATTATAGGGATGATATAATGTCTAAATCAGGACAAAAAGGTTTGTGCAAGCAAGGAAAGGCCAGTACAATGCAAATATTCTTCATGGAAAACAAATACTCTGAAGTGGCTAATAGACTAAATGTATTGACCTTTATGTTCCCAAATCCTCCCGATACACCCACCTCCTCAGCACTATGTCCTACTTCACCACCTCAAACGTTGCAAGATTGAGAGCCTTTCTATAAGATTCATGCTAGGATTTGCAGCTGTATTGTACTGCCTAATTTTTGCATTTGAGTCAAAAGGACCATTTGTTATCTAAAATGTAAAGGACACGTGCCATGAAAATCGGTAAGGCTAACTCATTCTAATAAACTTCCAGGACAGCACTTGAGAGATACGCACCTCCTCCACAAGAAACAGGAAGCGCATCACCACAAACTTGGAAAGGAAGAAGTCCTTTTACAGAACTGGTCAGTATTAAAACAAGAACCAAAAAGGAAGTAAGCTCAAATAAAAAAAACATACCACAAAAGAGCTTAACACAAAAAGTGCAGGAACCCTGCTGCCCTGGAAGACTTTACTGAAAATAGTTACCGCAGGTCAAACTTCAGTTTTCCCAAATGGTCTTTAAGGACCGCATGAGAGGATAAGAACTTTAAAGGTTAGGGAGAGATATGGCTTTCAGAATTTTTCTCCAACAGGACAGCTAAACAGTCTTCAACTATAAAAAGGAAGTATATAATCCAAAAGCAAAATGACCATCAGGAGCCAATGGCCAACTGAACATATAGAAATCCTGAGACTTTGCGACATAAAAAGGATATTTATAGAAAAACACAATTAGTCAATATCCTGACCCTGCTATAGTATCCAAGCACAAGCCTATTGTGTATGCAAGATTAGTAGGTAGGCCAAGCTTCACATAGTATAGAATTATAGTGCAGAATATTTCTTACATTTCTGTTGAAAAGATGTAAAATGTCTAGATGTAGAAGCCAACATTATACTACCTCACGGAATCAGAAATGTGCTGAGTGAGGTCTAAACTGTGATTGAAATATTACACATACATGGGAACTTGTCAGCATCAACCTGCCAATGCCAAGTTGCCAGCTAAATACCAGCTTTGTCAAATCTCTAACCTGTCAAGCACGGTTTGTAATTATAGCGGGAGGTCATGACTGGGCAACTATTTGCCTGTTAGACAGGAGGCCGACACTAGCAGTAGAGCCGCACACGTTACAAGCTATGCAGAATTGTAGCAAACATTGTTGTTCTAAAGTTCCAAGTACAGTGGTCCTATATGCCCTCCCTCTCCACAGCTGTGGCACTCCACTCACCCACACCCTTGCCCTGTTGCACCTATTAGGGTGGGAGGCAAACAGTACCTGCTCCAGGGCCAGAGAGGGCTGCTAGCCTGGATGCTCCTTAATGCTGTGCCCACAAGATTATGAAGGTGTTTTGCACTTCTCAAACAAAGGTTTATTCTCTATGCAGGAACCAGAAGCAACCAATCAAAAATTGGCCTAGTATAACTTGCATTTGCTCTTTGTGCAGTTCTAGAATCTGCTTGTATAGAGGTCACCATGTGTCCCAAGAAATGGCGAGTCTGCAGATCTCTAGGCCTGGGCTGATGTGCGTATTGGCCCGCTCAGCCTATGCATGTATCGCTTCTATGTTATTCAAAGCCATTTCCAATGCTGTGGAGCGGGCTGTAGAGACTGTGTACACTGATAAATTCATGCTTCCTTGCTGGCTTACAGCTGGGTTTACCTGGCAGAACAAACCTGCTACAAACTACAGTACAGGCATAAAAGAAGATTTTTGTATTACCATAAGATACTTTTGGAGTATGTTACAGGACACAGGAGAATTTATCTGGAACCTTTTTTTTTTTTTTGACCGTCTTTATAACAGTCTACAAATTTCCGTTTCGATTGTTTTCTTCAAGATTTTCTACTAGCAAGATTCTTCAGCAGCTGCAGAGCCACGGAGGCTTTTTCTTCCAGTTAA